CTCCATGTCTCGACAGCAAGAATCCTCAAATATTCACAGGACCATACTTTAATTTAGCATGTTCTCCAAGAATATCTCAACAAAGAAATGAAATCACACCCCCCACGAGAGAGAGAGAACAAGTAGGGAGTTGTGAGGAAGGCAGGCTCACCATCCCTCCCTCCTCCAGCCCCCAGCACGACCACTCCCAAAGTTACACCCGGAAACATCAGCTGCAGACCAGACTAACACATCGCGGGCTTTGTTTTGTTGTCAAGAGATGGGGTCTCACAGTGTTGCCCAGGCTGGACTCCCGGGCTCCAACGATCTTCCTGTCCCAGCCTCCCGGAGTAGCAGGGACAACAGGCACATGCCACTGCACCCAGCTTAACACTGAAGTCTTACATCTTGCCTTCTTTCAAATCACGTGTAGGTGCTCACGTGTGTGGAACTCCGTCCTTAATCAACAGAACTCACCACTGCGCCACGTGAGGCCAGCGTGGACTGCGGGTTACAAGCCCTTACATGGGGTTCTTCCAATCGGCGATGTTTTTTTAACTCCTCTTAACATGGCTACCTTGAAAGGATTTTTCCTTCTTTCCCCTTTCACAATTTGCTGCTTGCTTCTGAACTGTACAGATTAGAAAAAAATCTAACCAACTTTCTTAGAAAGACTACATTACAGGTTGATTTGTGTTCCCTCAAAAAAGATGTTAGAGTCCTAACACAGAACTTTTGAGTATGACTCTACTTGGAAACAGGGCCTTTGTAGATGAGGAAGTTAAGATCAAGTCACCCAAGTGGATACTAATTATAAAAAGTGGAAATTTGTGACTGAACCTGGTGGCACAGCCTGTAGTCTCAGAGTCCAGCCTGGGCAACATAGCGAGACCCCATCTCTAAAATATAAAATTTAAAGTTACAAGAGGAGGAAATCTGGACATGTACGTACAGAGGGGCGATGATAAGAAGGCACGGGGGAAAACCGTCTACAAGGCGAGGGAGAAAACTGCTGAGAGAGAGGCCCAAGGGCGGGCCCTGCGGACACCTCAATCTTGGACACTCGGCCTCCAGGACTGGGACAGGGCAGATTTCTGTTGTTAAGACCCCAGTCTGTGGCACAAGGTTACAGTGGCCCTAGGAAACAGAGGCCAAACACTGCTTCCAGGGTCTCTAAGCCTGGGGGAGAGACACCCGACAAGGCCCCAGGTCTGGGGCTTCAGAACACGCCACCCTGTTCTGGTCTCTTCCGTTCTTGGTCAAAGGCAACTGACCAGATGGTATCGAGGCAGGAGGAGAAGAAACTTCTTTATTCTAGAGATTCTCTAAATAAATTAAGCCTTCGTGTGAACAGAGCCAGGAGTCCCGCTGACGCTTTATTGTGGCAGGAGGAGCACGCCCAGCTCTGGCCCGCTGTGCTCGTCCTCGCTCAGCAGCTCCTCACACTCCTCGCTGAGCTCCCCAGCATCCCCGGGCCCGGCCTCGGCCTCGTCCTCGCTGGAGACAGGCTCCAGCTCCTCGCTGAGCGGCTCGCCCAGGCCCCAGCCGCAGCCCTCGCTCGGCTCGTCCTCACTAAAGAGATCCAGGTCTTCACTGGATATCACGTCCAGCACCTCACTGTCCTCCTCACTCAGGCTGTCTTCCGCCGTGTCCTCCACTGCGGAATGCTCTAGCTCCTCACTAGGCTCCAAGTCCTCATTGGCCACTTCCTCGAACCCTGGAGAGTAAAATGACCGGCTGACTACCATAAACTTAACCGTGGCTCAGGAAATAAGGCTATTCTCATCCTTGAAATAATCATTCCCCCCCAAAAGTCTGCTACGTGAACTGTTTCCTTCCCCACAGCTTGAAAGAGTGATACTCTACAACGGAAAAATGTGCTAAACTGCTAACACAAAAAGGCTCCCTAGGAGCAGTTTTAAAGGTTGGTTTTGGCTTTCAAAAGTAAGAACACAAATAAAAAAATTATACCCAGACAATTCTCCCCAACGACAGTTCCTGCTGTGACTAAGGGCATTGGAAGACACTACTATACTTTTTATCTTAGAACACCATTTTCCTGAACACTGGTGTCTTGTGACGATCACCCTAATTCAAATTAGTACACTCCCTATTAATCAATTTTTCCATTAACATTTTAAAAGAGCACATTTTCAGGTGGCCATATTCTGGAAATAATTTAAACAGCTAGCCTCAAAGGTTCTGATTGGATCCCTACATTTCAGAGCTAATATTCATTCAGTGCTGACTGTAGAATCAGCTTCTACCACCTGTCCCAGGACGGCCTCTGCTTTTAAGGATGGGTTCGACATCTGAAGGAACCCAGGCTCAAATCTTGCCACCACAGACAGCTCTGCAAACCTGCTCAGGCACAGGAGCGATGACAATCTGCCCGACACCCTGCACACCCCCTCCTCTCCCCAGGTCCACGTCCCTCCTGAGTGGGAGGGGTTCTGTGGTCTAATGAACGCAAAGTGCAGCTCAGAAGTACCGTAAAACAGACTGTGAACTACACTTTTAGAAGCCAAAACAGGACAGGAAAAAAGTTGGTCATGTGAAAAATTAAATCCAAAATATAATTTTCTACAAAAGATACTATAACATTTATTAAATATGATCTGAATGCAGATAAAACATCAACTGAACCATGAACACAGCAGGATTCTCCCAGCCCTGCATTTGCTCTGGTCTACACTAAACATACCGCCAGCAGGCTGCACGGTGACTTCATACATGTAGTAGCCATGGAGCAGCTTCTTTTCCTGTGTGTAAATCCTGACGGCCTGAAAATGGAAGTCACCTAGAACACCTACAAGAACGGATGGAAGAGGAATCACTGCCACACTAATCGTGGGAAACACAGAACGCCTATCATCGAAGTGTGCGCATCTGTACCTAACACACAGTGCCTATCTCCTTGGGCTAGTGGGTAAAAACTGACTCATTCACATCTAATTAAATCTCTATATTCACTGACATCGAATTAAATCTCTGTAACTTCTTACTCTTGAAAGATTTGCTCAAGGAAAATCATTTTTAATGAGTTCAAAAATTGGCATTTTTAATCATCAGATTTTTTTCTCGGCTGGGCGTGGGGGCTCACGCCTGTAATCCTAGCAGTCTGGGAGGCCGGGGAGGGAGGAATGCTTGAGCTCAGGAGGTAGAGACCAACCTGAGCAAGAGCAAGACCCCATCTCTACTAAAATAGAAATAAATTAGCCGGACAACTGGGGAAAAAAAAATAGAAAAAAATCAGCCAGGTTTGGTGGTAACACCTGTAGTCCCAGCTACTCCGGAGGCTGAGGAAGGAGGATCACTTCAGCCCAAGAGTGTGAGGCTGCTGTGAGCTAGGCTGATGCCACAGCACTCTACTTAGGGCAACGGAGTGAGACCCTTGTCTCAAAAAATAAAAAATAATAAAATAAATAATATCTATTTTTAAAGAAATTATAAAAATTTATTTTAAAAAAATGATTGTTTTCTGCAAGAAAACAAAAACTGGCTACAATTCAGTCACTGAGGGACCCTTTCCCTTTGTGAGAATCACGCAAGAGAAACCGTGTTTCAGGTGCCGGGCCTGACTCAGGCCAGCCTGCTTCACATCCTGCACACCCCAGAACCGAAGCCCCTGGTGCCAGAAGAGCAGACCCTCTTCCTTGCTTGGCCACGAGGAAAGTTACAGATCTGAACACAGGATTTCTGCCCCCAGGGTGCCCTGCCTCCCAAAAGAACCAATGTGGGAGGCTCAAGGCTATAAAGAGATACCACGGCAATTCTGAAGACAGGAGAACTCAATCAGTAAATTATCACTCTTGAGTGGGATTTCTTGCCTGTATGAGTCAATCAGTGGAGCATGCTAAACCTGCCTTTGCTTCCGGCAGCAGGGATTAACACGAACAAGTCCTCCACTCTTAACAGACCACACAGCCCCCTCCCACAAATCTGCCCATCCCCTGCTCTGCTCCAGTTGTAAATGTGTCTAAGAAAACGCTCGTGTGCACTAGCTGTCCTCCCCTCCCTGAGGAAGGGACTCTCGTAAAGTCGGGCCGTGCCACAGTAAGGACGGAGTCCCCACTTGAGGTACACCGGAGGACGGCACCGTGCAAAGTGCCCAACACCTACCCGACGTGACCGTGCGCCGCTCCTCTTCGTGCCTGTGGCAGGCAGGGCTTCCACTGGGCACCCTGTATTATTCTTCTTTCCCTCCTGGAGGTTTGCAGGTGGTGTTCAATCTCTTCAACCATGCTCCAGGCAAGGAAGGAGGTAAACACAGGACGTGTTTCCCCCACAGTGAGTCAACAGACAAATATGGCCTCAGCAGCACACGTTTAACCCTGACCTCCCAACGCAGACAGCACATCAGACAGTCTGACAGCGGACAGCTAGCAAGAGCACCTGACACTACCTGTGTCCAAGACACACATGAACATCTGGAATCAGGCCTCAGGACTAAGAGGTGCAGGTGATGAGAAACTCCATTTTCCCTGTAATCAAAAAGTGGCTAAGATACCATCTCCGTTAACAAAGCTGTTCTCTCCTCTAACAGTGTTTCTGCTGCCTTGCTCCAGAGGTGTCCTTTCTTCTCACAGATGGTGAACTCGACAGTCCCAACACCGTTAGAAAAGGCAGGTTTACAGATGAAACGTCTAGGACCACACCTACGATACGCAATGACTTTAACAGGAACATCACGCACCGCAAACTCTCACAGAAACCGGTGTTGGACCAGAGCACTTCCTTCCCAGAGCCCGGCACATCACCAGTCTCCACTGAGGGCAAAGGCAAGTTCATTACGGCCACACACAGCGAAAAAACACTTTAAAAACCTGCATTGTTTTAATGTTCAAGTTGTGAATTTTTAAAAATCCTCAAAACTGAGAAGGTTCACAGTTCCTCTGCAGCTTTAACGCCAAGCTGCACGGCCAGACGCAGCGTCGTTCGACAGAAAGGGCAGGGTCAGCCGCACTGGGCTCGTGGACACACCACAAACACCAAGTCGACACCCTGGGTGGTTAACTTACCGAAGAAGTCGAATGAAAATGGGTCCCTTCCACCAAAAAATTCCCTGAAGACGTCATCTGGGTTACGGAATGTGAAGCCAAACCCAAATGGATTGTCAAAATGACTTCCACCTACATGAGCAAAACACAGCTTTCAGTTTATGGATTTTGGTGTTTTGTAGAGAAATATTTGTTTACAGAACATAACACAAATCGCAACCTTAAAAAAAAAGAAAATATTTTGTGAGTCTGGAGTTGTCAAATTCAAACTCCTGCATGGTTTAAGCTGTGAGTGCCGCGACTTTGACGACGAGACCGTCACAGCAGGGCCCTCCACTGCCACTCTCTCCCCCGTAGGTCTGTGACCCAAACGTGACACCACACACCACTGATCACTTGTCACGAAGGTTCACGAAGACCAAGAGGACTAGCGCTCGCTGAGACAGCCCCGCTGTTGCAGCAGTGGCTGCAGCCTGGCCAGCGTGCTCAGGTAAAGCTGGCCGCACAGCCGACCCCCGGGCACTTTCCGCACACAAGTCCAGGCCCTGCCTGCGGGGGCTGTTTCAGCTTTTCAGTAGAATCTGCTCTTGCAGGGGTGGGGAACTTGCAGCCTTAAAGCCACGCTGTGGCCTTTCGGGTCTTGAGTGCGGCCTTTTGGCTGAATCCAAATTTTACAGAAAAACCATTTTATTAAAGGAGGTGCAGCAGCAGGGAAAGATAAAGCTTTTCTTGCCTCCTTTGGTGCTTAAAAAAGAACAGTCTTGAAATCAGAAGGTCACAGGTTCCCCTCCCCTGCAAAGCCCTAAGGGTACTTTGACATAATGTCGAGTAGGCATCTAAGAACTTGTGTAAGATCACACTGTATTACAGTATGGTTATAAATGATGTCCTATCTACACAAAATACATCAACATACACTTTCTTCTAGTCTCGCAAAGACTTTTAACAGATTTTTTAAATGCTCTCAGGTCCTCTTCCTCTCCCTCTCCCCACTCCAGCCCAGCTTCTAGGCTGCTTCTGCAACACTGCAGAGGCTCCAACACCCACTGACTCGCCACGCCCTCTGTCTCCAAGGGAAAATTCATTTACGTACCTCCTCCACCACCATTTAATCCTTCTTTGCCGTACTTGTCATAGATGTCCCGTTTTTTTGCTGAAAATTTTTTAAAAGATTCAATAAGGCAAAGTTATTTTCAAACCCTTAAAATTCAACAGATAAAGTATTTCTGAAGTTATAAGTCAGTTTTTAATTTTGCACAATTAAATGTCAAGGAGTTATGCCACCTTTACTTTAAAAGGGAGCAAGAGGGAAAACTTTCTACCTCTCTCCTGACAAATAATTCGGAAAAACTTTAAAGTATTATGAATTAGAAGTTATTATAAATATTAAACATGCATTCCATTAGAAGACTGCTTGCACTTTACTACCCACAGAGCCCATCTGTATGTCGTTAAGACTCCCATGACCAAGTACAAAACTACTCCAACCCCTGACCCCTCTGACTACAGCGTCTAGAGGACGTGGTCTGTGGCACAAGAAACACGACAGGATGGACGTGGGGGTAGGAAGCAGATGTGCCAAAAACCAGAAAGGAGCCAACCTAAAGCCCCACAGCGCAGGCGCCCTGGTCAGCGGCACGGCTGAGTGCAAGGTGTGGAGGTGGTGAGCTGCTGTCCATGACAGTCATACTTATTCACATCCCAGGATTAAAAAAACTACAACGTGGCCCTGGTTAGAAGAATAGGTACTTCAGATATGACACCATCTGTGTTCCCCAAAAATCTCATGTTCTGCAAAATGGAAAAATAAGTGTAGAAGTACACCACTTACGACCAGCTCTGTGACCAGCACCCTCGAAAGAACAATGACTATACCTTTAGGGTGGCACCACCTGGGCCAGAGACTGCCTAGGAGAACATGAAAAATACACGCCCTCAAAAAAATAAATAAATAAAAAGCAAACAAGGGATTTTTTTATGGTAGTTTAAAGGTGTATTTTATGTCAAATACGAAGCTTTAGTTTAGTCCTCAATTTTTCTACTGGTATTGGTACATGAAACCCACAAATCTGGGATACCGAATTAGCGCACAAAGGACCAAAAAATGCGAACACTGGGGCCTGCGGGCTTCAGCACCAACCCAGCTCAGAGCTCCAACGCACAAGTATCCTGGACGCCGCGAAGGCGGAGACACAGGACAGCCTGGCCCGGGAGTCCAGCCTGGCGACACAGCGAGACTCCACCCCCACACCTCTAAAAAAGTCTGAAGAACAATTAAAGCTCAACAGTTTAAGAAGATAAATGCCACATTTCAAAAAGATTTCAACTACCAGTGTTTTTATGTGTTTTCAGACTTGTGAAATAAACAGACGTCTGGGATTTCCTTTAAAACAAAGGAACAGTGCCAACAGAGAAAGCAAGGCTTGTCCTGTGGGTAAGTGTTGACGCCGGCAATGACTACATCAGGTTTCCTCTTAAAATCCTTTTAAAGAGTGGCCTGTTACCTGACCGCACGCAGATGCACAGGAGCAGCGTCCACTTCCTGTGGTCAGTGGATCAGTCTCTGCCTTTGCTCCCCGGGCCACCCTGCCTTGCCAAGTGCCAGCCGTCTCCCAGTTCCGATGCCATCCCCCAACCCCAGGACTCATGCAGTCTTTCCTTCACCATAGAGCGGCTGACTGCTGCCCTTTCACTCTCTGAACCAGGCGAGCAGGTCTGACTTCCAGTAACACTGGACACCCATGCTCTAGACCGACGTGGGAAAGACAGGCCGAAGCTCTTGAGTCTAAACCTCAGCTGTATGTCAATCCTCTCAAGCAGGAAACTCACTCCACAGGAACGAGAGGTCAGGCTGCTCAGGCATCACCAGACATCAGGGCAGCCCCCACCACACCCATGGGGACCACAACAGCGTCCTGCACCCTCAACTCTTCTTTGGCTCCTCAGACCCAGGGTATTAGGCACTGTTTTAGAACAGCCATCCAAAGAGAAACTGCTAGAAGCCCAGGTGCTCATCCCTCAGCACTCGTGGTTAACTATATTGATTCAAATCTTTACAAGAAAAGTAAAAACATCCTTAGTGGGCCCCAAATCCAGCTGGCACCAAATACATCCCTTGTGTCTACACTCTGCTACCCCTGCGAGGGTCCCAAGACCCAACCCCTTCCTGCTGAGCCACCCACTCAGATCCTTCTCAAGGTCAGTGTTACTCACCGTCTGATAACACCTCGTACGCCTCGGCTACTTGTTTGAATTTTCTCTCTGCTTCTTCCTTATTCTCAGGATTTTTATCCGGGTGCCACTTCAGTGCCAGTTTTCGATACCTTGAAAACAGTAAAAGGCACTGGTCATGTCCAAAGTCCAGAAATCAACTAGAGTTTTGAAACCAACATAATTAAGCAAGAAAATGGTTTCACAGTTGCCAGCTAGTGAGGTTAATACCGGTTTTAATTGGAAAACCTCCCTTTTCCCTAGAATGAAATACACAAGTTCCAGAATCCAGACAGCAGCAACACAAACCAGCCTACAGACAGCACAACGTTTGCGGATCCCAGTATTCACGGCATGAACTTGTGCCGACCGGGCTGAGCAAGCACAGAAACTCCATTGGGAAGGCAGCTCTGGTCACTGAACGGTGAGGATCCAACATCACTCTCCTCAGCCTGACGTGTTCTGAGTCCCAGAAACATTTCCTCAGACAGCTCATTAAGCAAGTCGGTGTGGCAAAGGTGAGACATCACCACAGCCCAGACCCGGGTCCCAGTGTCTTTCAAATAGCCCTCTGTTCTGGATTCAAAATCCAAACAGAGTTAAAACACTGACTTTTTCAAAACTTCTATGACCAAGGTCATGGTGTGCTCCAGGGTTCCAATTAGCTGAATAATTGCATGTTTTGAATACAAAAGAAAAAAAAAAATCCTCTAGCTTAATAAGCAAAACATAAGTAGAATACATTTTAAAAAGGGGTGGCATTAAAAAGGGGAGGGAGCGTGCCCTTAAAAAATCTCAGACTAGCTGGGCACGGTGGCTCACTCCTATAATCCCAATACCTTGGGAGGCCATGAGGGGAGGGGAGGATCCCTTGAAGCCAGGACTTAGAGACAGCCTGGACCACAGAAAGACCCCGTATCTCTGTAACAAGTGAAAAATGAGCTGGGCGTGGTGGCACACATCTGTAGTCCTAGCTGCCTGGGAGCATCACTTGAACCCAGGAGTTCAGGATTACAGTAGCTGTGATGATGCCACTGGAATTCAGCTTGGGCAACAGAGCGAGACCCTGTCTCTTTTAAAAAAAAAAAAAACAGATTAAAATACAAATCCAGCAGTCCTTTTAATACTTGGCAAATTATTAATGTAAGGCTACTGTGGCTCATCTTAACATTTTAAGCAAAAACTTTGGTTTAAATATACTAAAGTCTGACTCAAGCTAGAACCTAGACTACTTAACAGTATTTTTTATATCACTGTGGCTCTAAAGTAGATCAAATCCCCCCCAAAAGTGCCACAAATCTTCAATTAAAAATGACAGACCACACAAAAGACTAAAGAGAAGGAACAATTAGTCTGCACTATTAACAGCTTCGATCGCCTAGTGCTCGTACTGAAAATCAAGGAGCACAGGACAAGGTTCAACTGCATACGCCCCTCGTCGCACACAACTAAAGTTTTTGAGAATCCAAGTGGAATACAGCGTACGATAAAGTTGAGTGTGAATGACTTAGCGCTCATCTTCGGACCTGTGTGACCGGCACACCAGTACTTACTTCAGCACCACAGAACGAACAACACTGAGGGGAAAACCCACGGCCTGTGACGCAAACACACGGTAGAGTATGGTGCCTCAGAGGGCGTAGGGAACTGGGTGGCAGCCACACTCGCGTAGTCCTCAAACAAAAATGCTCAGCACACCACAAAGCCAGAGCCCACAAAAGACAGTGCTAATAACATGCACCCCATAGCTATCAATGTGAGAAGTATTTATGCAATTGTACACTTAATAGGAAAATCTTGCTGCTTTTAAAGGTTAAATCCAGTTTTTTCCTTTTTTTTTGAGACAGAGTCTCACTTTGTCAGCCTGGGTAGAGTGCAGTGCTGTCATCATAGCTCACTGCAGCCTCAAACTCCTGGGCTCAAGTGATCCTCCGGCCTCGGCCTCCCAGAGTGCTAGATTACAGGCGTGAGCCACCACACCCGGCCTCAAAAGCCTTTTCTAAACTCATACTTCAATATCATCCTGGAGATGCTGGTCAACCTATATGTTCTCAGACATAACTAAAATCAATCTACTCTTCAATTACCTGGCATAACAAAAACACAGAAACATACACTGTGTGTATGTTTATTCACAAGTTCATTCACAAAGAGTAAAGTATTTCCAACTGTATCTTTGTTCACAATCTACCAAGTACTACTGGCTGTTAACTGTTAGTTTTAAGTATAATGTGGACCTAAAGTATGCACCACAGACTCACACAGCGTAAGAACTGTCACTCCACTGGTGACAGCATCAGTGCCTGTCAGGTCTCTCTTCAGTGGGCTGCCCCTGCCAGGTGGGCAGAGGTTTGAAATGGATCCTCTCCAGGCAACTTCAGGGCTATCCTAGATGGCTGACATCCTTACTTAGCATTTTAAAATTGACTAATTGCCAAGCACTTTGGGAGGCCCAGGCAGGAGGTTCACTTGAGCCCACGAGTTTGAGATCAGCGCGGGGAATAGAAAGAGACCCTGGGCTGGGCACGGTGGCTCACACCTATAATCCTAGTGCTCTGGGAGGCCAAGGTGGGAGGATTGCTTGAGCTCAGGAGTTGGAGACCAGCCTAAGAATGAGACTCCTCTACTAAAAACAGAAAAAATTAGCCAGCATGGTGGTGCATGCCTGTATTCCCAGCTACTCAGGAGGCTCAGGCAGGACGATCACTTGAGCTCAGGAGTTTGAGGTTGCTGTGAGCTAGGCTGACTCCATGGCACTCTAGCTCGGGCAACAGGGTGAGGCTCTTAAAAAAAAAAAACAAAAACAAAACAGACCCTTTTCTACCAAAAAAAAAAAGAAAGAAAGAAAAAAATTAGCCAGGTGTGGTGATGTGCACCTATAGTCCCAGGAAGCTGAGGTTAAAATGATCGCTTGAGCCCAGGAGTGTGAGTTTGCAGCAGTGAGCTATGATGACACCACTGCACTCTAGCCTTGGTGACACAGTGAAGACTGTCTCAGGAAAAAAAAAAAAAAATCTGTATTGTGACTTTTCTGCTATATACTCTACATTGATAGTTAACAACTATCTGGATCCCTCAGTGCAGTCTTTTGATTGAATCCAAATTACACACAACAAACCTTTTCGAGAAAGGGATTTGTCCTGTAAAGTTTGGATTCAATCAAGGAACTACACTTGGGGATCTGGAAGGCCACAGGTTCCCCACCCCTGGATCCAGACGACCCTGAGAGCTGTCTGTGAACTGCGACTTGCCCGCCTCACGCTGGCCAGGCCCTGGGCCCACGGAGGGAGGAACGGCACGCAGGGAGATCTCAGACTTCACGTGGAGCAGAATGGCAATCACACCGGGAAGTCAGGGTGCTATGCTCTGGGTCCCCACTGTGGAAAAGTGCCACGTCAGCTCCATTTCAAAGTCCAGTGTAAAATCGGGGATGACCTCACATCCGCCGTGGAGTTCTCATCTACTTCAAACAGATACGGAATCCACTGCAGCAAGGCAAAGGAGCAGGGGGAACAGAGCGCCGGAAAGGCGAAGGGCCACCCCGAGGCCCCAGGCTGCAACGCTCATTTGTTAACTGCTTTCTAAAGCTCACACTGAGCTATGTGGCATTCACAGACTGTTATGTAACATTTAAAGCCATTTTAATAGCAACAGAAAGAGTTATGTTACCTAATTACCAACGTGCAACTACCCAGGTGTATTATTTCAGAAATAAAATTACTTACGCCTTTTTAATATCCTCGGCTGAGGCATGTCTCTGCACGCCTAGAACTTCATAATAATCCACCATGTTTTAACTGCTTGTGGGAACAGGTCCTGCAATTAAAAATAGGCGGTCAGTGACAAGGCTACAGGGCCGGGTGGGTCACAGGGGTGGGAGCTGGGCGGGAGGAGAGTCACCCAGCACCCGCTGGCCCAGAGAGAACTTCTGTCAGCTAACCCTAGCCTGTCAGGCCAGGGCCTCCTTTCTGGGAAGTGATTCTAAAACTCATGTCCTAAAACCCTTCTAGATATAGAAAAAAAGCTCTGAAATAGCCTAAACTAAGTAAAAGGTGCAGGTAACTCTGAGACTGGGTGGCCACCTGACCACGAGCTGACAGGCTCTCCTTGAGTGTCCTGTTTTCCCACACGTGGGCCACGCTCAGAGAGCAGCAGCCACCCCCCTCCTTCAACACACGCCTGTGCCAGACATTGGGCAAGACTGGTGCGCCGCGGACGAACACGCTGTCCCTGCCCAGAAGAAACTGCACGTCAGAACAGAAAGCTACCCTGCCACCATTCTGTCTCTCTCCCCAGGGACAGCAAAAGCCTCTCACACATCTCCCAACAGAGAAAGGCAGGGTTCTGAAGGCAGAGTTGTCGGCGTTCACGTCACGCTCTGGCTTCAAACTCCCATTCATCCAGCCACCAAACAAATACGGCACTGCCGTGCGGGCGTCACCACCACAGATTGTGCCTTCAGTCCAAAAGACCTGCTTCCCCTGCGAGCCACTGGGTCCCCTGCTGCTTCCCAGAGTGCTGCAATGAAACCCACTGTGCCCTGCCACCTGACGGGGTGCAGCCTCTTGTCCCACAAACAGGAGCTACACGTATCCTGCTTCTGTAGGGTGTGAAGTTTCCTAACCCATTTACTTCTTTAAATTTGACTGGCTAAATCATTTTATTAAACCAAAGATCAAGAAACTGCACTGAACAGGTAGGTCTATGCCATGTTAACTTCACCCAATAAACCTTCGTCCAAAACTGAAGCGAGGCTTTCAGTAGCCTGCCCAGAAACCTTAGTTTTGGAGAGTTTCAAAAGAAATATTCTCACTGTAAACAAATACATGAGATCTTAACCTTGCTAAGGCCATGTTGCTAAGGTTGAACGCTGTCAAGGTTAAATAATGCCACATTATGAGTTACTCCGTTTCTCAAAACAAGATGTACAGTTTTATTGTATTTTTACTTTCCAAATTTAGAGAGCAATCCATAGTATGAAAAAAATATTTTTAACTCATGACTCAGCACGTGTGTGCACATCTGCCTGCATAACCCTCATTAAATATTCCTGGAGTAACTATATAAGAGGATTAAGAAGAAATATACAAAAACGCAATTTTTTTTTTTTTTTTGAGACAGTCTCACTTTGTTGCCCAGACTAAAGTGAGTGCTGTGGCATCGGCGTAGCTCACAGCAACCTCAAACTCCTGGGCTCAAGTGATCCTCCTGCCTCAGCCTCCCAAGTAGCTGGGACTACAGGGGCAAGCCACCACACCTGGCTAATTTTTGTTTGTTCATTTGTTTCTATTTTTAGTTGACTGGCTAATTCTTTTTCTATTTTCAGTAGAGACCGGGTCTGGCTCTTGCTCAGGTTGGTCTTGCTCTTGCTGGTCTGGACTCCTGACCTCAAGCGATCCCCATGCCTCTGCTTCCCAGAATGCTAGGATTACAGGCATGAACCACCACACCCAGCCCAAAAATGCAATCTTTTGGGGAAGCTAAGGCAGGAGGATGGCTTGAGGCCAGGAGTTCCAGACCAGCCTGAGCTACATAGCGAGACCCTGTTTCTAGAAAAAACAGAAAAATTAGCCAGGTGTGGTGATGGGAAGCTGTAGTCCCAACTACCCCGGAGGCTGAGGCGCGAGGATTGTTTGAGCCTAGTGGTTCGAGGTACAGTGAGCTGTGATGACACCACTGCACTCCAGCCTGGGCAACGCAGACTGATCCTATCTCAGGAGAAAAAAAAAAAAATGCGATCTGTTTGTTACCAGTCCAGGAACCCAAAACAAGAAAAACACTAAACATATCACACAATGATCTAATAGACAATCACCTCTTAGCACAAATACCCAGAATGTTAGATAAAATATGACAAATTTAAAGAGACAGCTCAGCTCCTAGGACAGAATGACACACCCAGGGTGCCAGTAACAACAAGAAAATTAGAAGCAAGCACAAGATGAAGCTTGTGCATTGGTGGGGCAGGATTTGGGATCTCCAGGATGTCTTGTTTCAAAGGCACAGGCCAAGCAGCAGCTGCAACTAACATTCCTATATTAACTGTGGTCCCTCAAAGAGCTGTAACTCCAAGAAAGGGGAACAGGAAAAACTTCCCACTGAACTGCAAAGAGGGAAGGAGAAACACCCCTAAGAACACGAAGCCCTAAAAACCTCAAACACACAAAACAAAATCCTATTCATTACCTTCGAGTACTATCCTAGGAGAAATAAGAGTCTCTGTAACTCAGATCACAGAGATTCCTACAGAAAACAATCCCTGTGCAAATCAGCTCACAACCCAATCTTAAACAGAAGGAAAGCACTCAGAACGCGAAACGCACACCCTGTTATGCATAAAAGAATCGTGATAAGAGGAATGGAAATGTCTGTGTGTCAACCTGCTGGTTTGTCAATGAACCAAAATGGCAGTAACAACAGTTATTAACACGGCCATTTGAAACTGAACAGCAGATTCCAGAGAGCTAGAGAGGGCTTGCGATCTGGAAGTGAGAGCTAAGGACATCCTCCAGGTTCAGTGCAGAGACATGGAAACAGGGTAAGAAGGTTCCACATAATTGTAAAGATCAGAAGGCCAGGATCAAAGAGGAAACAGAGGTGATACTGAAACTGGCTACGAAGGCTCCAGAAGTAACAGAAGAGAACAGGCTCGACTCACTCTAAGGGCCTGTCACTACTTGGGAGGCAAGCAGAGCACAGGCTGTTAACCTGCAAGGCAGGAGGGAGAGTCCCCACACCAAAATATAAAGACAAACTTGAACAGAAAACAAGTAAAATGTAAACTTCATACCAGAAACTGGGGTGGGGGAGACGGTGCGCACAGGGAGCTGGGGAATTGGAAAAAGCATAGGGTAAGAGTTTAGATGCATGTGTAGCCAGGCACAGTCTACGTGTTCTACCAATATCGACTTCTTTAACCCAACACCTCAATAAACACAGTAACTAAATAAAAATTAAAGACATCCTAAAATCAAATTTTTTTTAAACTACACTTTTCAGAGAAACAGAAAAATTCTCAGAGGCTAGGAAAGATGCACAAGGCAAACACCAAACAGTGTGTGTAGCAACACCGCTCTCGGGTGGGAGACCCCGAATACCAGCATTAGCAGGAATGACTGGGGCCAGGCCTGGTGGCTCATACCTGCAATCCTAGCACTGTGGGAGGCCAAGGTGGGAGGATCCCTTGAGCTCAGGAGTTCAAGACCAGCCTGAGCAAAAGCAAGACCCTGTCTCTACTAAAAATACAAAGAAATTAGCTGGACAACTAAAAATATATAGAAAACATTAGCCAGGCATGGTGGCGCATGCCTGTAGTCCCAGCTACTGGGGAGGCTGAGGCAGGAGGATTGCTTGAGCCCAGGAGTTTGAGGTTGCCGTGAGCTATGATGATGCCACTGCACTCTAGCCCAGGCAACAGAGCGAGACTCTGTTTCAAAAAAAAAAAAAAGGAATAACTACTTCATGAGGTTAAAACAATGGCATTCTGAACATGGCCTCAAAAACATCTTTAAGTTGCCAGGTGCAGTGGCACACAGCTATAGTCCCAGCCACTGTCAGCGCTGAGGTAGGTCGATCAATTGAACCCAAGAGAATTTGAGGACAGTCTGGGCAAAAAAGACCGAGACCTCATCTCTTTAAAATATATGTATGTATATATCTCTAAAGTAAAAACAAGAGTTAGAAGATAAAAAAGATACATCCCAGTTGCCAGGGACTGGGACAGGAGCCAGGAACAGGGAGATACTGTTTAATGGGTACAGAGTTTCAGTTTGGGATAATGAAAAAATTCCGGAGACAGATGATAGTGGTGATGGTTATACAACATTGGAAATGTATCGAATGCCACGGAGCTGTTCTTAAGGTGGTGAATTTTATGTTGCACACATTTCACCAAAATTTTTAAAGATAAAAATATTTTTAGACCAGCCTGAGCAAGAGCGAGACCCCGTCTGTACTAAAATTAGAAAGAAATTCATCGGCCAACTAAAAATATACAGAAAAAATCAGCCGGGTATGGTGGCGCATGCCTGTAGTCCCAGCTACTGGGGAGGCTGAGGCAGGAGGATCGCTTGAGCGGAGGAGTTTGAGGTTGCTGTGAGCTAGGCTGACGCCACGGCACTCACTCTAGCCCGGGCAACAAAGGGAGACTCTGTCTCAAAAAAAAAAGACCAACAAAGAGCTGATGGGATCGGTATCAGCTCCAACATCCAGTGTTTGGATACTCTTTTCTACAACCCTCCCCCACCCTTGGCTTAGTTAAAGGTCATCTGCATGACAATACCGCAAAACACTCAACACCCAGACCCCCCCCCACAAGCTGCACACCTCAACCAGCCCTCAGCCTATCTCATCCCAATGGTGAAGTCACAATCTACAAAGTTCAACTTTTTTTTTAAATAAAGGATTCATATTTAAAATGCTAAAAATCGGCCGGGCAAGGTGGCTCAGGCCTGTAATCCTAGCACTCTAGGAGGCTAAGGTGGGAGGATCCCTTGAGCTCAGGAGTTCAAGACCAGCCTGAGCAAAAGCAAGACCCTGTCTCTACTAAAAATACAAAGAAATTAGCTGGACAACTAAAAATATATAGAAAACATTAGCCAGGCATGGTGGCGCATGCCTGTAGTCCCAGCTACTGGGGAGGCTGAGGCAGGAGGATTGCTTGAGCCCAGGAGTTTGAGGTTGCCGTGAGCTATGATGATGCCACTGCACTCTAGCCCCGGGCGACAGAGCAATACTCTGTCTCAATATAAATTTTGAAAATTTAAAAAAATAAAATGTTAAAAATCCTTGAAGGCCTTTACTTCTCCGCCTCCTGA